CCTTATAGCACCTTGCATGCACGTAAAGTTAGCAACTTTACGTGCAATGCTAGCATTAGGAGTCCTGATCTATGAGTTGGAAGTGTTGGAATGGACTGTAATCGACAGAATAGAGATGTCACAAGGTGGACTCGACGAGTCCGTTCATGGACTCGGCGAGTCGGGTTGTAAACCCAAACCCTTCTGTTATGATTCAGATCAGTGAGTGGAGTAGTGAAGGATTCAGCCAGACCGGGTCCATAATGGACATGAAGATCATAGTACTCGACGAGTTCGAAGAGGAACTCGGCGAGTCCAAGACAATCTTCTTAGTTATGAAGATGAACTCGACGAGTTGTTCATACAACTCGGCAAGTCATGGCCTAGATATTCATACAATGATGATGAACTCGACGAGTTCAAGGATGAACTCGGCGAGTCGGTTGAAGATAGTCCCGAAGTGTTAGATGAAGGAGAACTCGTCGAGTTCTCGCTAGACTCGACGAGTGGAGTCGGGGTTGTTTTGGGATTTGAAGAGCATGGAATCGGCGAGTTGGCAGAACAACTCGACGAGTCGAGTCAACTGGAAGGTTGACTTTGACCAGGACCTTGACCTTGAGAGGGACCTTGACCAGAGTTGACTTCTTGAGGATAGTTAGGCTAAGTGTTTCTATTATTGGTATAGGTAGCTCGGGGAGCTAGAGGAGCAGCAGTTCGGAGAGTTGTTGGATAGCAGCCAGAGGGTTATCAGCAGCTTCAGCAGTACGAGGTGAGTCTCCTCACTGTTTGTATGGGTCTACGGCCACAATGCCGGCCCATTTAGTTTATGTATGGTAGGAAGACCCGGGGGTTAGCCCTAGGCATTATGCATGAAAGACCAGGAGGAGGCTCCTGGCACACAATATGTTATTATGTATGGTAGGAAGACCCGGGGGTTAGCCCTAAGCAACATGTATGAAAGACCAGGAGGAGGCTCCTGGCACACTGTATACTATTAGGAATGAAAGACCAGGATGTGGCTCCTGGCACACTGTATGCTGAGTAGCCTAGTAGAGTAGTATGTATAGTTGTCTTTGTGATGCTTGCATGGAAGACCAGGGGGTGGCCCTTGGCAAATTGTCTGTAAGACCCAGGGAGTGGCCCCCAGGCTTGACAAGAAAGACCACGTGCGGCCCGTGGCAATACAGCAAGACTATGTTTGGCACATAGCACCTTACTTGATTATGGATATGTTTGTTATGTATGGCTCATGGTTACGTATGGCATGTATGGATCAGTTGATATGTATGGTATGTAGTATCTGGGGAACTCACTAAGCTTCGTGCTTACGGTTTTCAGTTATTTGTTTCAGGTATTAACGTTTTTCGAAGGAAGGAGCTCGGGGCGATCGCAGCGCATCACACCATGTTTTCTGCACTAGATGATCTTTGGGATTTAAAACTCTGATAATTGTTTTATTAAGAATGTTATTAAATGATTGAGCAAGATTTATTAAGCGGTTTTAATTAATCAAAACGAAATTTTTGGTCTTAAATTTTGGGATGTTACAAGAGTTAGATCCGAAACCGCCTTGGTGAGTTCTTGCATTTGTACCGCCACCTCTACCCGATGTGCTTCAGTCGAATCAAGCACCTGGTTGACGGTCTTTTCCAGTGCCGCCATTCGTTCGGCATTAGTGCCTTTCCCTTCAAGCTTTCCCGTCATCAGGACCTGTGAGGGCTCTGATACCAAAAGATAGGAACTTGGGTCAATGCCCTAATTCCCTACCTGCAATTCGAGCTACAGGAAGACTCCAAGAAAAAACCTCACGGTATTTTTATTAAAATGCATAAAAAAACCTAAACAAACTCTGGAGCACCTTAAATAGCGTCCAACTAATTAACAACAACAAAAACTAAACAGATAACTGTTATCTCCCACTTATCCTACCAAAAACTATTTAGATATATCCTAAACTACCCCTTATCATTATCCAAACCAACTCCCTACCTAATCCTCCTGCGATAAACCTTACCAAACCGTTGGGTCATAACAAAATGATGGCATTAGCATCCCCAACGTCTCTCTCTCGCCCTCGGTTCTCTCCCCCTCTCTCTCTCCAGTCAGACGTAATTCTCACACACAAACACACACACACACACATACACACACACACACTTAAAGAGGGTTTTCGTTTTGGAAGGATACACTCAATGCTTAAAAGAGAAACATGAGGAGGGTACGTTGCAACACAAAAGAACAAAATGAAATAAGGAATTCTCCCACACGTCGTATCGGAAAATATGGGGGCGTCCCATGTCCAAATTTCGAAGTTTGACAGAATTGCTCCCTCAGGATCCAACCTTGGCCGCTTTTACCCCTAACCTTAGTTCCATAACAATTTAAGTTTCCAAACCCCTCTAAATGGTCCCTCACAACAACTTCGTTTCTTTTAAAGCCACTCATGAACTTTTATTATTTAACATATGTTTATTTAATTATTTAAAATAATAAATAATTATCTTTTCATTTTATATAACTCCATTTATTTATTTATTTTACTTATTTATCCATTATATGGAAATTAAATTCCGATAAATACTCTTTTTAATCAATTAAAATGCTAATAAATCTCTATTTATATATATTTACTTCTTTTTTTATTTACATTCCTCTTTTAAATACTTAACTGGAAGCAAGACGTTACATAATCGGTTATGAATGTTTGGGTAAAATATGTAATAACTAGATTCAGATTTGATGAAAATCGATTATCAAACTAAATGTAAACTTTTCCAACTCTAGTGTGTATAATCACTTATAAGGAAAAAGGTACTTACATTTCTTTACTTAATAACAACACATTTACAATTTTTTACACATTATAGCAACATGCATACAATTCCTTACCCATTATAGCAACATACTTACATTAATCTAGCAACAAATAACATTATGTAACATGAAACTTGTAAGCATTTTACAAGTTTTAGGTTATATATTATTATTATGGGTAAAGAAATAAAAGTATGTTGCTATTATGGAAAAGGGATTATTAGTACATTGTTATTTTTGGTAAAGAGTTGTAAGTACATTAATTGTAGGGGTAAAGAGTTATAAGCAAGGTTCTAAATAACGTAAGACGTGACTTGGCGGTAATGTCAAGCCTCAAGCTTTTTCGAGCCTTGGCGAGCCACGACGTTTGTAAGGCGTGACTTAAGACGACAATTTTGTATATATATATATATATATATATATATATATATATATATATATATATATTCTACTATTATTCATTTTTATATACATATATGACTTAAGGCGTCATTTTATCAAAGCTCGGCGGCGCGTACAAGCCTTGGAGTCATGGCGCGCCATGACTTCTTTTTAGAACCTTGGTTATAAGTACGTTGCTATTATACGTAAAAGATAAAGTACATTTCTTATATTAGTAATGAGAATGAAGTACTTTGTTATTTGCATTCCTTGCAATTTGCACTTTATGAAAACACATCCGAACAACCCTAATTCACATTTTGATCAACTTTTCAAATCCCCAACATGAGGTAATATAGTTGTTCATCTTCCAAATAGAATAGATTCATGAAAACTTTCAAAAAGAAGGGATAAACAAGCAAACCATGTTTTGTAGGATGGGATAAAAGAGAATGAGCAGTTAAACCGAAACACATTAACAACAATCATGAACCAAATTTTTAATTCCATGTAATGAACAATTGCTTTGATGTTGGTGTATCCCACTCAATTTTTGCTCCTTTTAATTTGGATAATAGATTTGGATTCTACATTTACATTTTGTAGTCCCAAATTTCTTAATGTCATTGTGCTTTGCATTTTATCATGTAACTGATTAAATATATATATTTGTTGTGGTCTTATATTAGGTAAAGCTTCATTTAGGAACACATCAACCAAATTTTTAGTTCCATGTAAATTTGATGAGTGAAAAGTTGCATACCTTGACTGTAATATCTTAAAACATCGAAAAGACTGATTCTACATTTTGGTTATGTGTTTGTAAATGAATTTTACCTAATATGAGACCACAACAAATATATTTAATCAGTTGCATGATAAAATGCAAAGCACAATGACATTAAGAAATTTGGGACTACAAAATGTAAATGTAGAATCAAAATCTATTATCCAAATTAAAAGAAGGAACTAAAATTGAGTTGGATACATCAACATCAAAGCAATTGTTCGTTAACCACGATGTCAATTGGGGAACAAAAAAATTATGGCTAATTGCAAACAAGGACATCTAAATAATGGCTTTAATTGCATTAACATATTTCATAAACTATACCTTGCATTATCCCTTACACCCAATATATCTTAAAAATACATCTTCTATAAAAACATTTTTAGCTTTTTTTTTTTAAAAAAAAAAATCCAAAAGATAGCTATGATGTACCTTTTACTCTTGCCATGGTACTATAAAAAAATTCTTTTCATCCCTTTCTTTTTCTTTATCCGGGAAAGCAAATATTGCCATTTTTTTTATCTGTCTCTCCTGGAAAGCAAATACTAGGTATGAACATAGTGAAAAAACCTTTTTAACTTGTTGTATTAGGAAATGTGATTTTGTAAGAGCAATAATATGGCAATATATACGCGGTTTAATCATGGATGAAAGAGAGTTGTATAGGGGTCCCATATATACTTTTATGTTTAAACTTTAAAGAATGTGTTGGTAAAAAGTGAAGTTGAAGGCCCATTAGTTTCGTTAGTGCTTGGCATATACATTGGAGATTTGGAGGTGGTCTCAACTCTCAAGTCTGGATCTCCGGTTGCCTAAATCATAAATAACATTTGAGATGGTGATCTATCCCCTCATACCTTTGGCCCAATCGACCATGTACAATGGTTAATTTAATTAAAACTAAACAAAAATTATGAAATTGACAATTGACCACTATACATATGCAATATATTCTCTCCATAGTCCAATCCATAATGAGAAAGAGAAAAAAGTGATACGAATAGGGTAAAAAGACATTACTTTTAGCACAAATCTTGAACCCGTAAGTTAACTACTTGTTCAATAGACTTGGTTAATATCACAGGCCACTTTCCCTGATGACTAGTACTCAACACTGTAACATCTTGTTTTACATATTTGGTGCTGTTTTTTTTTTCAACGCCACCAGTGATTTAGTTGGGTGACTTGGTGTCATATGTCATTTTACCAATTTACTCTTATCTTTGGTCAAGGGAAAGTGATTGGGTTGGGTGTGAGGCCACTTCGTGTGCGAACTCTGTCTATGATCATCTGCCTCCCAGATAAATCTTCTTCATAACCCACAACCTGCCATTATCATTAATTCATTATCATTATGAGTGTATGTGAATTTAATGTTTGTTGGATAGCGCTATGATACATAAATAATTGAAGTTTTATGTAAATGCAAGACAAGAAAAAGAGTAGAAACCTGGGATTCTGTTTGTGTTTCACTGAAATTTCCATAAATGCCCCCTGTATTTTCTCTTACACCAGGGGGGTTGCTAATGTCATCCTTTTCATTAGACCTGGAACTATATAAAAAAGAGTCATGTCATGTGTGATGTACATATATATATAACATATTGCTTCTATCCAAACTATTCTCTAGTAGGTGTTGCAATTTTATTTATTTAAAATGGAAACTGGAAGACATTTCAACTTTTAAAGAACTCATCAATAAAATGTAGGGAAAATTGCAGGATATTTCAACATTCTTTACTCTTTTTACCAAAATAAGCAATGTACTTACGTTTTTACCCATAATAGCAATGCACTTACGTATAACATATTGCTTCTAAACTATTACAAGTGTATCGATGTGAGTAATAATAATAGGCAGCATAATAGTATTTGCTATTAAAGGAAGAAAAAAAGAGTTAAGTACATTGCCTATATTGGTAGCAAGAGGCCAAGAGTAAAAATACATTGCTGTTTCCTGCAATCTGCCCTTAAATTTATACATCAAAATATGTTATTATGGATTTTTTTTCCTGGTCTTTCTTACACCAGAATACCAACCCTAAAATTTAATTTTTTATAAAAAAACAGAAAAGCTAACCATGAGTTTTTTTTTTTTTTTTTTGGAACCCTAAAGAAGAGAAATGACAGGCAGAGGCAATGAATAGAGAAAGCAAGATAAGATGTGAGTCACCTCCGTGTCCAGTGCTTAGATATCCCAAATGCAGAATGGGAATCCTCCTGAGAATGAAGATCAGATGTGAACACCTGCTGAATTCATTCCAACAATAACAAGGATTAATCCCATCCAATATCAAAAAAATAAAAAATAAATGATCAGAGCATCAAAGGAAGAGATACCTCGGATGCATTTTTATCAGGTGTTCTCTCAGGTGACATGTGATCGTGAATCTAAAACACAGGAAGGTTAAATATTAACAATCCAATTCTCACAAGTCACAACAAACAAAACACTAAGAGGGAATTGGAATCTGTTTTTTTTACCTTACTTGTCTGCTCCAACAAATCCTCAATAGCAGCAGCAACATCAGGGACTGATTTAAAAACTCCGCCTCCCTCTCCCAAGTCAATTTCAGTGGCCTTATTTTCAGTAGTAGAGATAATCCTGCAGACAGAATCTAGGACACGTAATCCAGAAGATTCTGTAACACTTTCAGTAGAAAGCTTTGATCTTTTACTCCCCATAACCTTAGATTTAGATTTCACCTCCTTCCTTATGCTTCCTGCTCTGTTATCATCTTTTTGACTTTGACCATCAATGGTTTTCAGATCCTGAGATTGAGATTGAGATGCACCAGCTGTAGAAACCATTCGAGCCGCCTGAGTTGGATACTGGCTCATGGTGCACATTCCAGCCTCACGCTCACTCGCTGTAGCTTCTTTTGGCAAAAATCCACTCCAATCAACAACTTTGTTCTGACACAAGTACCAAAAACATTTTTTCAATAACAATTAACAAACATGTATACAAGGATTAAATACCAACAATAACATACTTTCATTCATTTGTCTTTTATTTATAGCATCCCACTTCATGTCTTCTTATTACAAAACAACAATCAACTGAATTACACCAACCTTATCCAAATACAAACCATTTTTCACTGCTATGATTGGTTCAATGACTTAACAAGAAAAAATAAAATGAAAAGTGCAATGATGTAATTTGCTAGTTTTTTTTTTTTGAAGTACATTGCTTCAGTAAAAAAAAAATGTAGTATGTTTCTATTTCTTGCATTTAACACAATAGAAAAATGGCCCAACCTGGTTAATGGACTCCCAAAGCCACTCGATTGTAACTGTATGTATCCCCCATTCATGGGCAGCCTCGAATTTTGGACCTTCAGTGAATTTGCATATTAAATAGTTGACCTTTTTAGTAAGCCGTTTGACCAATTTTCCTCCAAGAACATGGCACACGTTTCTCAATAGCTCTTTATCCTTATCCTCGTATTGGGATACACAGAATTGAAGCCCAGTAAATCCAGGTAAAGGAATTTTGCATTGTAGTGGAGAGAAGAGAATGTGACTGCTAACATCAAGTAAGCGTGCATCCTTTACCAAAAATGTTCAACTTTTATTAGTTTTTATCAATTAAAATGCATAAAAAGAGAGAGATAAATGCAGCATAAAAACAAGATATGTCAACAGAAAGCTCATATATAGAAGCTAAACCAGCACAAAAAGAGGAAAGAATGCATTAATGATATTAGAGAAACCCTAACAACTAAGCTAGATAGCAAATGTAGCAAATAGACATATTCTAGTGGCGTCATAGAAAATACTTGTATCATGCAATTGTCTGTCATATGTTCAGGTTAACAAAATGGATTCTATTTGGCTAGTGGCCACATTTAATAGATGAATTCAAATACCTGTAGACATGAGCGAATCCAGTGAGAAGATACATTAGTAACACCATTAAACTGGGTTCGACTGCATAGAACACCATGGGCTTCAACAGTGTAATTAACATTCTTCTCTGTCAAAGTATCCACCACCTTCCCACCCCCTTCATGAATCCAGTCAACTATTTCACCTCTCTAAACAAACCAACAATCATTAATACATCCAAAAAAACATTCATACAGGTAAAAGATTCAAATAACATAAAGCAAGTGAATCAAATTTATAATTTAAAGAAAGGCAAGCTTACTTGAACATCAGGGAAGGTACTGGAAAAGCGAAATGATCGCCCTCTAAATACACTCGACTTATTGTTCTGCTTTTCATTGTTGATGCCATGCTGCACTTTCTGTTGGCCCTTATCCAAACTGCCAATATTAGAAAACATATGTTGGTTAAACTCATAACCCAAAGCTTCTTGAGAGAGCTTTCATGTGTGTGTGTGTGTGTGTATATATATATATATATATATATATATATATATATATATATTCATGGTAACTTTGTATACCTTTGACTTTGAGACTGATCATTTCGCAAAGGTGGTTGAACGGTGGAGGTGTTTCCTGGTTTCAGACCAGGAATGGCACTCACAAATCCCTTATTAAAGGGCAAGGAATCTACAAATCAGGAAATGCGTCAGTGAACAAGATAAACCAATTGAGACAGAGTTTTCAAGGTTTAGTCAAAACTTGTGACACTGCCATGGTTGTCATGGTGAAAATATGATATAAATGCACATGGTTATTTAGTATATAGGCAAATTTAAGGAACATGAGAACCCCTTAGATATTATGAAAAGAATACCACACCTTTTGGGAGGAGCAAATCATAAGCAACGTGTCTCCGAAGTACAGGAAGTTCTTTCTTTTCACGTTCACAATCTTCAAGCCATACTGTTTTTACCACATTGATGACACCCATAGCAGAAAGGCTCCTTACCTCTTTCTTCTCACTGCATTATTCATAGAAAATGAGTGGCACATAAACAAATTAATAAAATATAATATAATTAATTGGCATGAAAAGATACTTGCGTTTCGGAGGGAGTTCCAACAACAATGTGTGTTAACTGATCATTAAGAGACATATAACGAGAACCACTTCCTCTTCGAACCATGTTCACCAATCGACGCATTTCAGGAGCATCAAAACCAACAAGATGAATTTTGCAATTCAAAAAGTACAAATCGTTGCCTTCAGATTGAGAATCTTCAGCAACACAACCATCAATGTCCATACAAGTTTTAGGCTGTATGGTAGGAGTTGTCTTCTCCTCACTAATTATACCAGGAATGTCTGAGCAAGTAGAGGCCATATTCTGTGAGAGAGTTGCTTCCAGATCAGCATCTGCCATCCCATCACATGAAATCTCTTGATGGGTTATGGAAATTGGAGCACCCTGTGAGTTTCTGATAACTTTCTCTTGGCTGTGTTGCCTCTTTAAGGAAGTCCTCTGACTATTCATAGATGTGCCAGGACTTCTCTGGACAGGATATGAATCCTCATTCAAACATGCTATTCATCACAAAAGATAATTCATAGTCAGAAGACTAACAAACTGAAGAAAAGGGTATACATAAGATCTGTTTCTTTTCTAGACTGAATAAAGCATCTGTATGGGATTAAATGGCCATTTTATCCTTACATTTTTCAAAAAATCACACTACTAATCAATTTTTATGTGAGCAGTTTGGAGAAAAAAAGAAGCGCAAATAGATAAAGAGGTTGGTGTCTTAATACATTAAGCCAGGTTTTTGTGGCTTTACCCACTAAGTTATTCTGTCCAAATTAAGTCAAAAAGAAACAACCATGTATAGCTTTCCAGATTAAGTGCTTAACCCATGAAGCCCATTAACTCAATCCAAGTGTGACATTGAAGTTTAAGTATTACCTCTTCTAGCAACAGACTGATCGAACCATGTTCTAGTAACAATACGAATGTGACCCCATCTTTTTGCAACCTTGTATTTGTCACCTTCAGGGGCGTGGGTTAGTGGTTAAGGAGACATTAGTTTTCAAGACAATTTACAAGATGTATTGGGAACAATCCACTTAAACTATGATTAAACATGATTCACAAAATGATTAAGGATATATCACACACTAGATGAGTACTCTTTCTTGTGAGTTCAGCAGAATATTTGCCCCCATTCTGTATGACAAGCTTTTCTATCTCCTTACGCGCATCTGTAAGAAACAAACATATTAGCCACACATGAGAGGACCATAAAATGTTAAGAAATTCACAGTTAACATATTTTGATTTTCATGATAGTCAACCTAAAGGCACTTGGGTGACGCTAATTGTCAGCCCAGAAAATGGAAGAACTCTGTATGAGTCATGAGGAACAACACGGTGCTCTTTCCAGCACTGGTGCAGCCAACTCTCAGAGACAATTGGTTTCTTCAAAGTGTTCAAAGCCCACTGCAAAACATGTAAAGAAAAGCAAATTAGATGACTCAACAAGCTTCAAAATAATCGTTGGTTGAGAGCCTAAAAGTATTGATCAAAGCATGATGAAATTAACAATAATATTCAAACTTGAAAATATGATAAAACAAGAAAGAAAATACATAAGTTATTACCCATGTGAAAATAGAACAGAAGCAAACCTTATATTTTGCAGCTAGTACATTCTTCACAATGACAAAGTTAATGTCCATTGATGCTTTAGTTTGCAACAAACCTCCCATAGCAGTCACTAACTTGTCAAGCTCATCCTACAAGACATTTTTAGAAAGAAAAAAACTATGCAGTTAGCTGGGTAAGAAACGAAGTTGTCTAAAGATATATTTACATATAAATTTTAAAAATAAGATGAATCAAGAAACTAGAGATGAAACATCAAACATCCCCTCAAATACTACAACCTGAAACTTTATGAATAAAAAGAACATATATCTTAGATAAAGACAGAAAAATTTTATCTTCACATTTGTAAATTTATCCTTTGTATTGGGCCCATCATAAAAAAACTCATCCGATTAAGGAAGAAGGTCAGATATTACAAAAAAGAAAGGAAATACATTCTATTCACAACAATACTAGTGAAGATAAGTAATAACCACAGGAAAAGAACCTTTCCCTCCTTTTCAAAGCCAGATGTCAGTATATTAACTCCGTCCATTGCAAGGCAACATGTGAATCCTTGTTTTGGCAGCACTCTATTCTCTTTTGCACACGAAAAAACACATTGAGGACCTGGAAAAGGTACAAGTAGCTCATTGTAACACACCAATCTTCTTACTAAACAACTTCTTTGACATGTCATATGCACCTCCTAGTAGGGTATCACGCTTAAAACTTTTAACTCATTGTAAAGTGTAAACTGACTGACAAGAATCTATATTTAGGTATTACTTATAATGCCAAGGTTTTCTAGCTGCAGAACAAAAATCCCAGGAAAAAAAATTACTTTTAATTTTCAAATGCATCAGTTTCTTAAAGATCAAGTACTATAAGGATGTAGGGGTACTGATCAGTTCATATTAATAGTCATGTAATTTAAAACAAGGGTGAAATGATGTATGTATTTTTACCCCAGCTATCCATTTCAAGAAAAAAAAAAGTCTAGAAACTGTTAGTTCATCAGAATGATTTTAAGTGAATACTTTATATATCTGAAGAGATGAATATACTCCTATGATATAGTTTGCCTTTGCCATAATAACTCTTAGTTATCAAAACTTACAAAAAATCTAATCAACCATTGCCAACTCAAATTATGTGCCTTCTAAGTACTTGCAGTACATATCAACTAAGGATACAAAAATTCAAGTAGTTCAGAATAAGATAACATGCATAATGAAATTTACTGTTGATTCTTAATATAAATTTAAAACCTAAACGAAGTGACAGTGAAAGGTCTGAACAAACAAATAAAGATCAAGGAACCTGGAAGGGTAAGCTCACAACCATACCAATCAAATTACAACCTTTCTGGCGCAGATCATTGAACTTTTCCTGCAAAAAACATTGGAATCAATTGGTAAACTTCAAATTCTTACAAATAAACAGCCAATATCTACCAGTACTAATACAAGATGCATATACATGATCTCGAGAGGAGATAATGTGGTAATCATCAGGTCCATTCCGGGAAGGATCACAACACAGGAAGATCTCAGCTCCATTATCTTTCAAAACGTCGTGAAGCGAAGCGAATATCTCAGGCGGCACTAAATTCCTAGACATGAACACATTCGCTCCCTTGAACGTCGTCTTCCTCATCATCTACTCAAACTTTTCTCCGCCTACTAAATAGCAGAGAAAAATATATTATTAGTCAACAAAATTGAATTAAACAGGATCAAGTTACCGTAATCCAGCAAAGTAGCTAGCTTCATATAGCATCGAAGCTTAATTTGCAATACACAAATTGCTACAGGTAATTAGTTACGTAAATCAAGGAGACAATTATAACGAACCTCTTGGATCCGATTCGAAATCTGGGAAAAAATCGCCAGAAGATAGTGGGTGGATTGGGTGATGTGCTTTTCCTTTGAGACGTAGGCGGGAAGAGGGTTTTCTTTGCTCGGAAACGAAATAATGAGATTTTCGGTTTTAGGGGCCAAAATTTTTAAACCCTATAAAAACCAAACTTTAACCGCGATATTAGGCGAACAAAATCCATATTTCAGTTTTTGCTGTCTCATTGCTAGCCACTATAACTATCATTTATTTCTTTTTACATTTTCAGTATGAAAACATTACTTTTATAACGAAAATTATTGCTCGAACTTGTATGCCTTTAAAATGGAATTACAAAATTAATAATGTTAGACTCTCAAATGTTCAAAACTTTCATTACATATCTAACAACAAAAATGTTCATATTTCTTTTCTTTTTACTCCGACCATGTTTTCCATGTTAAGTATTTCACAATTCAAATCAATGTTTTTTTCTTTTAGACAAAAAACATCACTAAAGCATATAAAATTGATCCGTGACTCAACCCGTGAGATGAGATGATGTGGCAACCAAGTCACCCGTGGAACACCATTTCTTCATGAAAGTAAATGGGTAGTGGTGTGAAGAGTTTTATGAAAGGTTTAAAAAAAAAAAGATTTTTCTCTATCTCTCTCTCTTCCTCCCCTTCCTCTCTGTCTCTATTTCTCTCTTTTTTTTTTTGTCTTCTTCCAAGTCATTAGTAACTTATTAATACTATTTTCAATGGTTTGTGACTTGATATTTTGGATGAGGTGATTGACGATCTCCTCGAATCTGTATATTAATTTATCAGCTATTCAATATAGCCTAAATGATTTTTTTTTCCAAATTTATCAGTTATTCAATATAGCCTAAATGATTAATATATCGGCTATTCAGCACAACATATTCATGGCAAAAATACAAGTACAAGTTGCAAACCTTAAAAACAATGCCTTTATAAGAGCTTACAAGTGAAAGATGAAGGAAATGTAAACCTGGTACGAAGCATATCACATTCACATCGATAGAAAATAGAACTTAAAATTATTTGAAGGAATGCAAAATGATTGAAAATAAGAAAAAGCTCTAAAATATTTCTAGGATCCTTTTGGTAACCTTGATTCTCAAGTGTTTCTTTATTAGTAATTTTTTTTATACAAAATTTGGTTTACTCATACTAGTTTTTTGCTAGACCTTTAGACTTTTTTTATACAAAATTTGGTTTACTTATACTAGTTTTTTGCTAGACCTTTAGGGCCTGTTTGATAATGAACTGATTGGGTCCGGTCAGCAAGTTTCGGCTGACTCGGTCCGACCAGGCTGTTTGGTAGAGCCCTAAATTGGCTGACTCGGTCAGCAATAGCTGACCAATCTACTGACTCGGTCCAATTGAAAATTGTTGCTGACCCAAAAAGAAAAGCCATCGTTCCCTTTGTGCCCTTGCGTCCTAAAAGAAAACACACAAAAACGCACGCCTCTATTCAACAGCCGGCATCGCTTCTTCGTTTCCACCACTCCTCATCCACACAACCTGAAATCAGCAGCTTCCTCAGGCGACTTCGACGCCTTCTCAGCCTCTGGCAATGTCGACCTCCACAACAACAAGTACGCATTTGGTTTTTTGGTTTTTTTTTCTGAAGTCAGTTGATGATATGATTTTTTATCTATATGAAATCAAACCATGCGTTTATATCAGATTATTTGTATGAAATCAAGAATGGAGTTGAGATGAGATTCGATTATGATGTATTTACATAGTATGTACAGTATGCAAGTCCAGACAGCTATGCAAGAGGATTTCAACAAAACTTCTCATCTGGTTATTCATTTGGTTTAGATTTTTCCTTTTAGGTGTATTTATATGTTTTGAGGATTTCATTTATGTAATTTTGTTGTATGGATAGCAAGGATATCAAATTACTTGATTGTTAGATATCTTCTAAACCTTTGCCATATGATATTTAAGCATGCTTCAAAATGGTTGTTGTTGATTATGTTTCCAATTTCTTAAGGCTGGCTAGCAAGATGGATTATGGATTATTAAAACTATTAGTATGTTCTTTTAATTGAACTGCATTAAAAGACCATCTGTTTGTTGTTTTAATTGAATTGTATTAAAAACCCATTATTAAGTATATGGATGAAGTCAAACAAATAGCGAACAAGCTAAATAATGGTTTCTAGAGTTTTCTTTCTTTTAAAGGTCTTGATCTATGAATTAAGTTAAAGCCATGAGGTGCAGGTTGAAATCATTTTGGGTTGCTCAGTGTCTCTTTTTAGGTCCTTGGGACTAAGATATTATATACCTTTTGAAAATATAATTTTGTTGCCTAATTAGACAAGAAACCAAAAGATTGCATTCCTTTGATCTGTTAGTTTCAATTTCCTCTATTAGACATCTGTTAGTATTTGTGTGTTTTTGTCATCTCAATTGGAGTTCTAAAATGCCCCCCCTAATATTATACATCTATTAGTATTTGTGTGTTTTTGGTTCTTTTGTCATACCACGAAAAAATAATAGAACATAAGGGTAAAATTGTCATTTTCAACAGTCAGCACAACCAGTCAGACCCATAATCAAACAATATGGTTTCAGTCAGACTTCAGACCCAGTCAGACTCTGACTCAGTCAGATCTTACTCAGTCAGCAACTATCAAACAACCCCTTAGACTGACATGGACCGGTACTCTGAGATCGATTTTGAATCAGCTTTGTTGAAAATGGTTTTCAATTGAAAACAACCTGTCTTGGATAGATTTAGATTGGTTAAAGACTGGTGGATAGCTGAATATGAGGACCTACCCAAAACCATCAAAACCATTTCTCGGTCTTAAGCTGGTTTGATTTGGGTCTTCGTTTTCAAGATCGATTTGCCCACATTTTGTAGCATCAAATGTTATTTTTTATTAAAAGTATTATATCAAGAACCACATATCTATTAATTTAATAATAAAACAATAATTTTATAATTATTGCTTTAATTTATTAAAACACAACAATATAATATTTAATTATGTAGTTTTTAACTTCTAAAATACTTTTAGTTCGTCAAATTGTGTTAAAACAAAAATAAAAAATTTAAAGGCCTTAATCATAAACACAAGGAAATGATTATTTGAAATATAAGAAACTACCCATCCTTTTTTATTTAGACCAAATTATATGTTTGGTTATATTTATATAATAATATAATTTTAAATTTATTATCATAGAAAATAATTTTGACTAGTTTTTATTAACATTTTAATCTCCAATATCAAATATTAAATTTGTCATGATCATATGATATTTTTATCATTTTTTTAACTAGAAATGTAATTGTTTTATCATTTTATCATTTTTTTAAATGATACGGGCATATTTATATTTTTCAACTTTGTTTGTTTGTAGCATTTTATGTCCATAAAACAAACATTGTTGGTGTTATTATGTATCGAAAAAAAAACACATCGTCATTTTCTCCAACCATGGCGGAGGATGCCATCGAACTACTTTTTTTTTGCAACTAAATAAAAGAAGATAATAAATTAGTTAATTGTCCTAAAATATTGTTTGTTTGTGACATGGAACTACTTTTTTGCAACTAAATAAACTAGGTTATAACTCATGAAAACCATGGTCAGTATTTTTAAAATTATTATATAGACAAAAAAATAATAAATGTCAAAAAAATACAACGTATTGTCAATTGTAAGTAATCTTAAATTAATTGGATTTTAAAAAAAAAAATAGATACCATATATTTTGAAAATGTTATTAGGATATGATTTTTTATTTTGAAAATTTGAATGGAAGTTAATATGTTATCGAAAAAACAAAAAAAAAAAGGAAATGGTATAAATCATAGGAAAAATGACACTATCAACATAATGCTAGAAAAATGACATTTGCCATTCATTAGGATAGGTAGAAGAGTCATTGTTGGTATTATTTAATGTTATTGGCTTAGTACATTTTAATTTTATAAATATTACATATGTTTAAAAAATAACATAGTAGATTATGGGCTTTATAAAATATTTGACAAAGATAAAAGTAAATTTAACTAATTCCATAGAAAGTTTTGGAACCTCAACAACACCTAGCCCACCGGCTATCATCGTGTGGGCCAAAATTGAATTGTCAGTTGTATGGGTCAAAAGATTTTGTAAATTCCAATAGGATAAGTTCCCCGCTGATTTGCAACGTCAAACCCCATACAATTTTACCATCAGTTTAAACAAGTTTCAATAATATTAGTGAAGTCTCATGTTCAAGCCTACATTGGAATAATCTTTACCTCATTTTACTAATAACATACACAATGCAGATTTAAAATTATAAAATCCAACGCCTCTCATGATATTTATGATTACATTTCTGTATAAAAAAATGAGAATCGAAAGTTTATTATGATCTATCAAAGTGTGGTACAGCCGATTTGAAAATAAGTACCCATATAATGAAAAAAATCTAATCTTACCTGTATACTGATACACATAAATGAAGTCGTAAAGCAAAGCAACCGATTCATTACGCAAGTGTTGCTCTTTTCCCTTTGGCATCTCTCGACTGCAGAAAACAAAGGTACACAAATCAACTCACCCAATATACTCCAAGTAACAAGATTGAAATAATTCAACAAAAAATTGTGTAGTAAGACTGAGAAAGACCTGTGCAGAAGCAGATTGTTTAGCATCCAAGAAGTGGCCATAAATGTTGTATAATCTGTGTTTTTCTGCTTCTGAAACTGAAGGTCTTGCATTGGAGGCAATCGAGTTCAAAAGTGCATTGGTGATCACCGGTTTATTTCCAGGCTTGTGAGGGTCTTCACTGTTGAGAAGATCATGAACAGCTGCCAGCTGTGCATCTGATAACAGAGCTTGGAGATCTGCTCCACTAAATCCTTGTGTTTTTCGTGCTATGCCTTCCAACTTCACATCATTCGCCATTGGTAACTGATATCCAAAAACTCGGGTTTCAGAAAATTCATCCTCTTGGTCCAATTTGAATTTGTTACCCACAAGACAAAACAAAACAAAACAGGTTGTACTGCGTTTGGCGTGCATTAGACTGATGTCAAGGACCTTTTTGGATGGGACAAAAATATGCAAATTTTGTCCCGGTCCCACCTTTTTGAGTGGGACAAAAAATTGAAAAATTTGTCTCAATCCCAGTCCAATGCATGTCAAACAACAGTACAACGTGTTATGTCATTATATATTTATAGGTGATTGTAACCTTTTTAGAAAGAACTTTAAGAATATCCAATCTCTCTTGTGGTGATGGGAAATCACAGAAAAGCAGACGATCTAATCTTCCGGGTCGCAGCAGGGCAGCATCGAGTAGATCAGGTCTACTGTAAATCCAAAAAAATATGATTTTATTTAAACTATTAATAACTTAAGAGTTAAGTCCATCTTTTATTTTAAAAAATGTAGTTTGTCTGATATTTCCTGCATTTGTCATATCTAAGAATTACTGACCTGGTGGCAGCAAATACAAATACTCCAGTCAGCACCTCAACACCATCTAACTCTGTTAGAAACTGGCAAGTTTTGATTACAATAGTGGTCAGATTTTGTACAAAGAGTATATATAAATAATAATAAACTAACTTGATTAACAACTCGATCGGTCACACCAGTGTTATCATGACCCCTTTTTGGAGCAATGGAGTCAAATTCATCAAAAAAGAGGAGGCATGGTGCTGCAGCTGCTGCTTTTGAAAATATATCACGTACCTGCAATTAGATTAGGTGTGTGGATGATTTGATCTATGCCTCTGTAAAAAAAAATGCATTATAATTTATAAAAAAAAAATGCACTAGATTGTGACTTACGGCTTGCTCAGAAGCACCAATGTATTTATTCAACAGCTCGGGCCCTTTGACAGAGATGAAGCGTAGTGAACATGCAGCAGCAGCAGCACCAACAATATGTGTTTTACCACAACCCGGGGGCCCATATAACAGAACATTTGACCTCAACCGTAAAGGAGCTTGTGAAAAGATCATTGGAAACTTTGAAGGTAATTCAATCATCTGACATACCAAAATTAATATCAAATACTATTAAAAAGCTAAGATAAGTCCATGTTCTTCAATACTTTTTTGCAAAAATTGTGGCAAATATTGTTGTTACAAGAAAAGGACAATATTATACCTCTTTGATAGAATTGCGAATTTCAATTAGACCACCAACATCCTGCCAGCCTCCATGTCCTTCTTCAGAAGCAGATTTAGTAACATCACGCATAGCAATAGGCAGAAACCCTTTCATTGCTTGTACAAAATCATCCTTGGTCAAATTAGGGTTTTTCTCGCTCCCAAAAGTCAACCCACGAGACACAAACCGACCAATTGCAGCATGAACTGACCTATCCACCAGGATTTCCTGCAAAAGTTGATCATATGTTTACCACTTTCACTTTCTCTTACAAACTTATTTAATACTAATTATACATGCAGATGCAGGAGATATGGAAAAAGAACCAAATACCAGATCATACGCATCATATCCATCACATGAGGAAGCTATATCTAACAAAACATCATCAGAACAGGACAAACAACGTTTTTGAATCTCATATTTAAGTAAAGCCCCACGTTCAGCAGCTGCAGGAGCAGCCAGTTGGACATGAAAGTCAAACCTGCCTGGAATCAAAAGTATTAAAAATCATGAACTCATAATATAAATGTAACAGAAGTATATACAAAAGCTCACCAGAGGAACTTAAGGTTTGTGGAATACTGGTTAGGGTCTGAACACAAGCTATGAATGCAATGGGACCAATTCCACATGAATGCTTCCTCTTTACCTGATAATGCAGATATAAATTTATTAGTTAGCATTAGCAAGCTCAGATAAGATAGATCTACCACAAAACATGCAATGCAACTATACCTCATATTCGTCCAAGATGCCTATGAGAAATTCCATGAGCAAAGTAGAAGAAGGTGAAGAGTGATTGTCTTCTGAGGTATTAGGTGATGCTATAATGCTATCAAGATCATCAAGTACCACAAGGGAAGGAGCATGATCCAAGGCTTCAGATATGTAACTAGAAAGGGCTTGATGGATAGCTTGGGACTTACTTGAAGCAAGTTTAGAACAACCTACATACACTCTATGAAAAGTAACCCTCCATCAAAACAATTTGTCATAATAAATAAATAGTAATGTCTTTCAGCTAGAGAAGTCATGTGATGCCCTACATGTGTGCCAAGATGTCTTCATGTTCTTCAATAGTTTTTGCAACAGTTGTGGCTAATAATGTCTTCCCAGAACCCTGACATTCAAGATATTTGCATACTTTAAGTATATGCTAATATGGAAGGAGTAAGTATGAAGAACTCACTTAAAAGTAAAATGTTGATTCTTTTTTTTATGGAAGGAGTAAGTATGGAGAACTCACTGGAGGTCCATAAATCAACACATGTCCAGGGAAAGGAAGATTGTAAGTACTTAAGAATATCCCAGAGGAAGGTGACAGTAACACCATTAACCCTGCAGAAAGGAAGCAAATGCATGTCAGACAATCACAGCTTCATTAAAGTTTAAAGCCAAATATGGAGAATTAATATATATGAACAAGTATTTGCATAAGCAAAATATTACTCTATTTTTGTTTTCTCATTGCACCTATAATATGCATCGCTCATGATTATCAAGTTGGAATGCATATGTTTTAGAAGTGAGAAAATTAAAGCTAAAGTACCTACTATTAGTCACATCAGCAGCTGTTGTGCCCATCCAGCTCAAGGAAGAAATCTCCAAGTTGGAACGCTTGTCAGATATTCTTTCTTTGACTGTATGAAGAGGTAAACCATCACCCTTTTCCAATTTCTGAAGAAAGAAATCTAAGCTTTTCTTATTCATGGTCTTCTTGTTTCCTTCAGAAAACTCAATCTCATAAGCTACTCCACCTTGCATAGAATCCTCAGAAACCGAGAGAACATACATGATATCAACTGATGATTCCCCGGTTTTCTTTTTTACTTCAAAAGAACGATTATGTGATTCATGTAGTTTTGCTAAATCATTGCCTTTCACCTGAAAGTGAAGCAACATCTTATTCCCCAAAACCATTGAATTTAGTTCGGTTTTGGAAAAAGACATAATGGCATCAAGTTGAGCCAAAATCCATGCATGCAGAAGAACCAATAACCCTTTATTACTTGTGGGGCTAACAGAAGTTCCTTCATTCTGATGACCAGATGTATCATCAGAAAGAGCTGCAATAACCTTCTCATGGGTTGACCAATCAGACAAGTCATATTGGGTATCTGGATTTGTCTTCAGAAACAGTTTCTCGGTGCGATGATTCCTGTGTCCATGAAGATTTCCAAAACCATTACTTTCAGAGGCCTTCTTTCCAAACATCTTAAATCCCTTATTAAAGGGCATGGAATCTACAAATTGGGAATGCAGTTAGTGAAGAAGATAAACCAATTGAGATGGAGTTTTCAAGGTTTAGTCAAAATTTGTGACACTGCCATGGTTGTAATGGTGATGTTATTTAGTATATAACCCATTAGTCATTAGATACTATGAAATGAATACACACCTTCTGGGAGGAGCAAACCATAAGCAACATGTCTCCAAAGTACTCGAAGTTCTTTCTTTTCACGCTCACAATCTTCAAGCTATACCCTTTTCACCACGTTGATGACACTCATACCCTTTTCAACATAAAACAAGATGAATTTTGCAATTCAACAACTAAAATTGAGAATCTTCACCAACACAACCATCAATAATTTTGACACTCATTGCATTTGCATAGACCTTTTAGGCTGTATGGTAGGAAAGAATTTTGCCCACAAATTACCTCGACGCGTGCTGTTGAAATCGGGAAACTGCGAGGGAAAACTTCAGATCTCCTTTCTCCTTTAGGGGTTTTAGTTAAGAAAGTTGTGAACTTTCTTTCTTTAGGTTTATTTTATTTCTCATTTTCTGAATCTTTTTTATTTGTGGAAATTGTTTTAATACAAAAAAAAACAAAACAAAACAAAATTTTGATTTATAGTAAAGTGACAAAAGAAACATCAAAGATTGTATTTTTATACTATACACAATTTTTTTTTTGTTACACAATCAACAAAGTCGTATCCAAAGGACACAATCCAAACACATTTCTTTTTTCTTTTTTTCACCTCAAACTTGTAATTCTTTCTTCGGTATAACTACATTCTCAAAATCAACGATGTGGTACCCTTCCAACTTCTTCTTCTCTGGAGCTTTCATTTCTTTAAACCCCCATCTCTTCCATGTTTTTTTCGTTCCTTCAAGACTTGGTAAAATTACTTTGTGGATACCTGTATCCCTCAAGAAAACTTCAACATTGTCAAGAAGCGTTTTGCATAACCCTTTCTTTTGATGTTTTGATCTGGTTGCAGCAAAAGGGATCTCAGCAAATTGGCAGCCATGAACTCGAATAACAATAACCGATAAAACTCTGTCATTCTTCCCTTCCATTTCAATAGCTGCAATAAAAAAACCTAGAAGACGACGATCTTTAACAGATCTCGTCGTTATTGCATTAATAAGGTTCTTTTCGGCCCATGAATGTGTGTTTTTTCCAAAAAACTTATAAAGCAGCTTCCGAGTACTTCTCAATCTCTGTGTTATATCACGATCTTCTGAAGGTTCCCATATACCCCATGTGTACCCATCAAGTTTTGCAGGCCATGAATGTTGATTGACTCGATTCTTTATATTTAGCAGAATGAATCGGCATATATTGTTGAACACGACTCTTTATATGGGAAACAACAATACTTTTATTAAGACAATTAAGAAGAACTTACACTTTGTGAGACTACTACACAATTTGCTTTCTTTGAGGCTTTCTTGGATACTTGGATGTTGGGATCGTTTGGAGCAAATGAGCTCCACACCTATTTATAGGTGTTTCCACCTCCTTATAGGAAGTTTCTAGATCTACATACATTCATGACTATTCTAGAACTATCTACCATATTCTATATCTATTACAAGATTTTATATGTTTCTAGAATGTTCTATAATGTCCTAGATAAGTATAGACATTCTTGTGTCTTCCATAGTGTTCTAGAATGTTTCATAGCCTTCCAGGGTCCTCCATCTCGTTCTAGAGTATTCTAGAATCTTCCGGCATCTTCTAGAATCCTCCATAGTATTCCATAATGTTCTAGAATCTTCCACTAGAACATGCTAACTTCTTCTAGACAATAACATGATTCTATTGGGCTAGTGATGACCTTCAACACTCCCCCTCAACACTAGCCCCTATTCGTTGTACCATGTTGAGCTGATAATTAAAGCCCTCATATTTTTTAGTACTTAACCCTTTGTGAACTCCATCTGGTACTTGGTCATTAGTCTTTACATGTCTCATATTGACTTCTTCCTTGAGAACTTTTTTTCTTCCACATGCTTTGTTTTTCCTCAGTTGCTGCAGCCGTTGCTTCGTATATTGTTTCCATAGTTGACAACGACATACGTGGTTGCCTTTTGTTGCACCATAATATTGTTCTTGACCCCGTTGAACTCTCTTATATAGTTTCTTATGCCTTCCTTTGGTAAACTTGTAAGCATGTGGGTTGTCCCTTTTACAAGCTTTGGAAAATTTCCGTAATATTAAAATGTTATGATGTAATCCCTTATTGATCTGCTCATCTCGTTTAGATGTTGCTCCGTTGAGAGATTCTACTTTTGTCTTACGAATCAATGTGTTTTTCTTCTTATCTAGTTTCTCCATCACATGTTCCACTTTTTGTCTCAGATGCAACTTTTTATGCAACTATGGTGACATCATGTTCTTATTCTCCTTCGGAACATCTATCTTCGAATGAACAACTTCCTCCTTCAAGGTTGTCTTAAACTTTGTCTCACTCTTCTTTAGACCTTTGTCGAGTTGCATAGTTGATAGGATTCGAGAACCAATCCTTTTTCTATTTAAGGGTACAATATGGATTATTGAACCCTTAGTGATACGCATGGTATCATCTCTCTCAAATGACCAGGGTCGTACGTTGTCTAGGAAATCCATTCCTAATACCATACGATAGTCATCCATATTCACCACTCTCAAGTCTATGGTGCCTTCCCATTATGCAATCTTAAGAGGTACTCCATATGCAACACCAAGGATATGCTTGGATAAAGAGTTTACGACTTTCAACTGGCCTGGATTTTTGGTGTATTTAATGCCCAGCTTCCTAGCTTCATCTTCAGCAAGGAAATTATGAGATGCACCTGTATCTACCAATGTCTTCGTGTATCCTCCATTTATCCTGACCTCTACGAACATTAGCCTTCCTATTTTAGTCTTATTCTCTTCTGTAGCAAATAGTGCCTCAACATCCCATTCATCCACTACTTCCTTTTTGGAAGTTACTACATTGCTTTCAACAGACTTTTTCTTTGACCAACAATCCTTGGACATGTGGCCCCACTTTCCACAGTTGTTGCAGTTGCCTTCGAACCTCCTCCCCCGAGAACTCTTATTGCCGGTCTTTTGAGATCTCCATGGTTGTGAGGTTCCTGGCTGACTCTTCCCTTTGTCAGCATTTTTGTATCCTTCTTTAGAAGGTGGCTTGAAATTCCTCCGATTTTTACTTATGTAGAGTGCTTCATCTTCACTCTTCAGCGTGATTCCTCCCATTTGCTTAGCCATAGCTTCTTGGCTGGCCAACAAATTCTCAAACTCTACAAGTGATGGTTGAACGGGCCATCCTTGTACAGCAGTAACAAAGCTTCTATATTCCGGCCTCAGTCCATGGATGATGATCCTCTTCATTCGAGCTTCTGCAATGACGGATTGCGGATCTAGTTCAGTAATCTCCCGACATATCGACTTGACCTTGTGAAAATATTGAGCAATCGTCATGTCACGTTGTGAGATTGATAATAGCTCGTTCTCCAAAAGTTGTAGTCTCGTATCATTCTTCTTTGAGAAAAGCGTCACGAACGTATCCCAAGCTTCTTTCGGTGTGTTCTCGTCCCGAATATACTCCAACATCTCTTATTCGATTGTGGTCTTCAAGGCAAACATTGCTTTGCCGGCTTTGATTTTCCATTTACGCAAAGCACCGTTAACATCTTCCTCTGACGGCATAGTTTCGCTTCCGCCAACGACCTCCCATAGATCTTGTCCTTGTAAGTAGGACTTCATACATGTTTCCCACGTTTTGTAGTTGTTGTTGTTGAGTTTCTTGATTCCTCTGACAACTTGGAGATCAACCATCGTGTTGGCAGTACCTCGGTAATACCAAACAAGCTAGTTTCGACACTAAACTTGCAGAGTCACAAACTACTCACGATACAACGAGAATCACTCGTTCTCACTATCAAGAAACCTTGCTCTGATAGCAGATTGTTGAACATGACTCTTTATATGGGAAACAACAATACTTTTATTAATACACTTAACAAGAACTTACACTTTGTGAGACTACGACACACTTTGCTTTCTTTGAGGCTTTATTGGATACTTGGATGTTGGGGTTTTTTGGAGCAAACGAGCTCCACACCTATTTATAGATGTTTCCACCTCCTTATAGGAAGTTTCTAGATCTACATACATTCATGACTATTCTAGAACTATCTACCATATTCTATATCTATTACAAGCTTTTATATGTTTCTAGAGTGTTCTATAATGTCCTAGATAAGTATAGACATTCTTGTGTCTTCCATAGTGTTCTAGAATGTTCCATAGCCTTCCAGGGTCTTCCATCTCGTTCTAGAGTATTCTAGAATCTTCCGGCATCTTCTAGACTCCTCCATAGTATTCCATAATGTTCTAGAATCTTTCAGAACATTCTAGAACATGCTAACTTCTTCTAGACAATAACATGATTCTATTGGGCTAGTGATGACCTTCAACAGATATTTGAACAGTAAACATCCTGGCATGGGGGGTTTATGATCAGCTTCCTGCAGGGAAGATGAAACTGTCTTCTGCATCCTATACATATTAGTTTATCATTGGAAGTGAAATCCATTTCTTTACAAAAGAAACACCTGCAATCGTTACAACGGAAACCAATTTTATCAGCGACATAGTTGGTGGGCAAGTTAAACCAACAAGAATCGCATCTTTGTGTTTCAACGTTTTCAGGTGACGGATTTTTATCCGATGATCCTTCACCGACTTCTAACGGCAGAGAAGGGCTGACATGCAAACAGACATCCCTTAGTGAATGATAATCAACTCCATGAGGCGAACGATAGACTAACGAGAACTTCCAACCTAGGGCTGATAGATGCTGCTTCGTAAGTTGAACTAACTCTTTGGTTTTTTTTTTACTCTGGACGCTGCCCTGGACGCAATGAGTGTAGTACATGATGAATGCTTCATGATTTGGTTTCGGTTTAACAGCAAGTTCATCTTCCATATTTCCGAGAAGGAAATTCGATAACACAGTGGAGCTTCAACAGAAAAACAAGAGACTCGAATCAAGAGATGAACAGGTTGAACATCAGAAGAAGTTAGGGTTATGGCCTTTATGGGGAAGAACCAGTGGGGTTTAAACAGAAATCATAACGGATTGAACTTGAAATGGTACGAAAAATGAACGCTATACAGGGTTTGTTTAAACTTCGCGCTTCTTTAGTGTGCGTTTTGCAAGTGTTTGTGTGTATGAGAGAGAGCCCTCTCTTTATTTATTAATTATTAAAATTAAAATAGATAAATATATATTAAATTAAAAAATAAAAGAAAAATAAAAAATAAATACATTAGGGACATTATAATCATTTCAATTTACTGAGGGACCAAAGACACATCGAAAAAATCAAGGTTTGAACCAAACCTCAGAAAAAAAAAATGCATACCATAGAAACCATTTTTACAGTTTTGTCTATTTTTTTAGGTTGGCAGGGAGTGGAATGAAAATAATGTTGACAAAATTGCAAAAATAGTCCTTGTAGTTGGCAAAATAATGTGGTTTTTGTCTAAAAAGTTTTGGTAGTGTACCAATGGTCCAAAATTGAATTTTTTTATTGTTTTTGGTCCTCTATCAATATGAAAAGACTATTATACCCCTTATATTTGTTTTTTAGTTATTTTATATTTATTTGACTGTTTTTAATTAAATGAAAATAGTAAAGGGGTTGCCCCTTCTGTCTCTCTATACGATCCCCTTCTACCAACTCTTCCCTTTCCAGTATTTCAATTCCACCACCACCTGCCTCCCATGGCTGGATCTCGATAACAAAACTAGGCAACAAGTAGTATTCATGTCTTCCTTCGCTGGAGTTATGGTTCGCTAAACAAATTCGTTGTCGGAGCCAGAGTTTGCATATCAGAGCTAGGGTTTGCAAAACAAAAATGGTGAACACATGCACAACAACCACATGTGTCTACCTCCATTCCTAACAAGCCACACAAACTTTGTTTGCTATCTTTCCTAATTTAGTGTGAGTGTCGATTTCATGAGTTTTTGCCATGGATTTAAAAGTGTGTGTGTGTGTGTTGATTTCAAGCTTGT